GATGTTTGCTCATTATAGGAGTACATAGAGGAACCTTTTGTAGTTTATCTTTTTTGAGGGCCCATTATGCCAATAAGCCAAATTGTTTATAGACCACATTTTGGGTCGAACGATGAAGCACTCTAAACAATGAGGGAACTCTCCTTGAAATCATTAATCACTTCACTGTGCCTGTCGTAAATATCTACCACACAGCACGCAAACAATGGCTCCCAACCGAATATTGAGTTGCAGGAAATTCCCGCAGAGAATTCACTCAGCTTATCGTTCGAGCAAAAGGAAATTTTCATTCCACTTCGATGATAAATTCAAAAGGCGTAAACCTACGTATTGATAAACCAATGGAGTCTCCACAAAGCACGTGCCCAACTATTTTCCCAATGGCCCCAGGCATATGGCGCCGAAATCAGTTAGGAAACAGTCCTGTTATTAATACGCCAATCAGCATAAGCAGCTGATGCGTTGATAATGCCCAAAGGCAGAAAACTGGGGGAAAACACCGAGGGGAGGAACTAATTCTCAGACCTCCGCAGTAGTCATAAATTTAGCCAGAGGCTAGAAAAAGTGTAGGAAAAATTACACAAAAGTGGAGGCGCAAATTGTTGAAAATACACTAAGAAAATATTAAGTATACGCAGTGCTTGTTGAGAAGCAAATTAAATGCTTTATAAACATGGCAAAGTTTCAAAATCTTTTCAGTACTAGAGTTAAAATATGTTCACTAATTTATATACAATGTTTTTTTAATTTAACATTTTAACATCTTGCTTTAAAGTATCTTAAAGTTACACAATTTTGTATAATCCATATTATATGCTAGTGTAGAGAGAATAGAGTAGTAGGACATGGGGGAAAACTATGTAGCCCGCCCAGCTTATCGCCAAAAGGAAATCAACAAGCAAAACTACTGGAAGGACAAGAGGAAAAAGCTGAAGAAACGAAGCGGAAGTGCTTGAAAAAAAAAAAAATATGTAAAGCCAAAAGAATGCCACTCTCTCTTTGCACAAAACACCCACGAACACACAAAAGGCCTTAAAGGAAGTGAAAGGAGCCAGAAGGAAAAGCCCGCGTTGTGGGTTTCCATGGGAAAAAGGACAAGAGGAGAGCCAGGATATGGCACAGTATGATAAATAACAGATGAGCAAGGGGTGTCAGCTTTGTTGCTCCACGTTGACTTAAGGGAAATGCGGGGTTCTAAGTAACAGGAGCGGGTAAATTGGGTTCCTTGCTTATTGAATGTACGACAGCGGAGCGTAAACTTGCAGGAGATCTAAAGCACGATGGCTGCCCAGGCGACACAAAAATTATCGAAATAATGATATTAATTATTTATTAAAAAAACCAAAATTAAAAAAAATTTAATATAAATTTTTCAGGAGTACCTTTAAAATACTCTTTAAATTCTATATATGTGTTCATAAAAATCAGTAGTTAAATAATAGACAACTATATATTTTAAACTAAATATTTAATTTTTGAACCAAATTTTAAATAATATTTTCTAAAAGGTAACCAAGTTTTTCTCGTAAACTCAACATTTGTCGCCTGGGAAAAACATACAAAAGTAAAATGAATAAAAAAGTACTCATGTCGAATAGTTCGGAGGACTTTTTTTGAGCTCCGTTGACAGTTGCAACTCTCGATAAAATTTCCCCAAATACATCGACTGTGGGGAGCGTCATGAATATTAAATTGCGATTATTGCCACTGGCAATGTGACGTCGTCTGACTTGGCGACGTTTGATGGCATTTGGGTTTGAGTTTTCCGGCATGTTTGGCCAGATGTTTCCATTGGTTGCCACAAACAAAGACCCCCCGAACAGTATCTCGATTTCGATGGCGACTCGATAAGCTTAATTAAGTCCACTTTAATTGAGTCGGTTATTAACTGAAACCTTTAAACTCTGTCAACTGCATTTGTGGATATGAAATCGATCCATAGTTGCCAGTCCCCCACATTTGTGTCTTTGTATCTCACTATTTGATTGATTGATGGCCTTCGGATGGGCGGGATTTTTGGGGGCGGAGAAGTGGGCGTGGGGCTGGGAAGTGGCAAAGTAAAAATTGGCTCGATGCTCTCTGCTTGATGTGATTGAGAATTTGATTTATTGGCAGCAAACTAAGTTTGGCCAACGTCAAAAGCAGCCAACTGAATGGAAGTTGACACTTTGCTTTTCGTCATGCAAAAATACACAGAGGAAAATAAAATATTGTATAGGGATAATATAAATAATTATGGGTGATTTATTGTGACTCTTTAAAAATAGATTAAATATTTATTATTAAGATTTTTATCTTTGATTTCATGATATAACTCTTTATCTTCTATATAAACACTTGAATATGAAAACATCAATGCTTCATAGGAAATTCAATCTAAAAGGTTATATAAATGCCAGATCCGTAAAGTCATCATTACATATCGATTCAAGCACAGTACAACACACGAACTCCCAAATCGAAATCCAGATTTAGATTTTATTTTTCGGATAAACTTTGCCTTAAGTAGAAAAAAATGTATCGAAATTTTTTGTACGTATTTCCGCTAATGGCAAATCGGTTGCGCTATACCGCTACCAAACAAATGGTCGTTCGCCAGGATGCCAACCAGGACCTCTTAAGCCGATGTCAGCCAGTTGAAGCAACTGGGAATAGCAGCCAAAGTTCCTGGGCCCTTCGACTACGTCAATTTGGAGTGCCAAGGACTGCATACTTTGTGAAGAATCCTCCAAGAAGCGGTGACAATTAGCCATGCTTTTAGAACAGTACAGAAAATTGGACGTTTCTACTTTTAAATCGAATTTTAATAATCGCTCTTTTCCAAAAAAATATATATGAATGCTTCTCCTAACGTAAACAAAATTTTCTTTTAATTTTTTTTGGACAAAGAATTTTGTTTGAATTTATATTCTTTTGTGGCGACTGTAAAGGCTCATGCATAAATTAATTGCAATCAATCTGCTAGTGAAGTGAAACCGAGTCGAAAACTTTGATCGAGTTATCAGAGTGCAGATATAAATTTTCCAAGACCAGCGGCAGATGTGTAAAACTTTTTCCTTGCACAATTAAAAGGAGAAGAGTAAGAAATTAAAAAGCTGTGAAAAAGAGTTGGCAAGAACAAATCAAATTAAAAAGTTACATGCACCCCACACATCCACACACTTCTCCAGACTCTTTCGATATGACCCCCTTTTGAAGTATTTTAACCCTGGCTAGACTGCCTCTTTTTCCACTCGTTTCCCAACATTTTCTCCGAGCCACTCATATGTGATGGGGAAATATCCTAAGCCCATTGTGTTCACTTGGCTTTTGTGGCTCAAGTTCGAAAGCGGCTTTGTCCTTTGGAGACTGTAATTGAATTTCGCCTTTTGTTGACAAACAAATTATTCTTGACTTAACCAGTGAGGTCATAAAAGAGTAAAGTAAATTATGTTAATTTTTCGTTGTACTCTTGGCACTTTTGCCCAATAAATGCGAATTTAATTCGGTTAACGTAAAATCCAATATATTTAATGGCAGCTCGCACATGGCAAACGAAATAAATTGAAAACATTGTGGGGCAGAACGTGTGGCCAGAAGCGAAGGACCAAGGACCAAGGACCAAAGACCAAGGATTTTCCATAAGCGAATATCTATAGATAAATGTTCGACGGTCACGTGTGAAGGCAGTAGCTGCTGGCCATCGGATAATGACGAAAATGGTTAATATCAGTTCGCCTGGAAAAATGCGAATATACATGCAGAAAAAAACTCACAAAAAGACAATCTCGAGAAAAGTGTCGTTCTTTTAGTACGCAAAAGTATGCTTGTGTAAACGGAAAAGTATTTTAATGAAATTTTAAATGCCAATCAATGGAAAATCGGTATAAGCCGAAAGAAAGAACACCGGATCTTTCTCTTTGCTTCGTTTTAATACTTCGTGGAGTACAACTACTTTTAATTGGCAATCCGAGACGCACATTAACCGATGGCCGCAATCCATTTTCCAGCAAAAAAAAGTAAGAAGCTTTCAATAAACTTTTCGCCAACTTGGAAACTTGTTCGTAGCTTGTGGCTTTTAAATTATATGGGAACCATTTTGGGAAAGGCAACCCGATTACCTGATGAACATTTTACGTCTACTTTATTGGTTATCATAAATTTACACTTAGAAAATCGTGCTACACAATTCGGTTAAAAAAAATAATTATAAAAATTACCGAAGTATAATAAATTCTTTTCTGTGTATTATTTTATTGCCTTTGCATATTCGTTAATTTATTTTTTTGGATATAATTTAAAATCTGTTTAAATGTTTTAACGTGTAGGCAACGAAAAAATAACCAGGGTTAACTTCCAACCCTTGTATGCAAGGACCACCTAATCCTTTTAGCAACCGCAGGATACGCATAAACTGGCACACATATCGCCGTTGCCATTGCCATTGCCTTGCTCTGTTATTTATGATAATTCAAAGTAATATCCCCGAGCAATTTCATCAACAAAGACACGGCTAAGGGCAAGGTGGCGAGCTCATGTGGAAATGCAAATATCCTTTTGCCAGCCAAGGATGCTCTCGAACCCTGAGGTCCTCGTTCCACACACAGCGGTGTGCTGAAGGAGGCCTTCGAAATGGCTGAAACGTGTCAAATGTGTGAAAATTGGGAAAATTTGTTTGCCTAATTGGGAGGGAATCGTGTGCTACGATAGCCATTACCCGCTTTTACGGTCTTTAACTTTAGCCTAAGGTGTGCTTTTTCGACTTTAATCAGAAGTGGATTTCATTAGTATGTAACTTTTGGAATTGAATTATCCCAAAAGAATAGAAAGCGCAGAGAAATTGGGTTGTATTAAATAAGAAAATATTTGTTAAAAACAACAAATATATCTTTTAAGCTTAAAAATTAGGAAATAAATATTTTTGCAAGCTACATATTATAAAAATAGATTTTAATATAACTAAACTGACAATTGCTTTACCTACATTCCATTTAAAATGAAACCTTTTTGTAGGAAACGAATCTTTTTTTAAAAAACTATATATTTTTATTTACACACATGTCATACACTCGATTTGGAAACAATGGACACTCAACAGACATCGAAGATAATTCGCCACTCCACAAGGACAGCTCACAAAACATTCTAAATGGGGAGCAGGTGCCGCACCCACGTTGCGTGAATATACCGACATGTATCTCATCTCATAAAACCATCTTTGCAATGCCAGGCACTGGCGTGCAATTCGATTCGATTCGACTCAGATCGGATTCCGCCGACTTGCCATCCGAATCCTTCACTTTGGATCGGCGGGACAGGCCATTTGGTAGAGGAACTGCACCAGGGTGCGAGTGGGTCGGCCCGTCATGTATTTGCTGGTGAGGTAGGGTATCAGTCCGAACTTCGTCAGCATGCCAGTGCCTCGGGTGTCCAGATGGGCCCAATCCACGCAGGGAACCAGTTCGTGAAGCACAGCTGCCGCCAAACAGGAACTGGCCAATCCCCGACCGTCATTACTCATATCGTAGCCCATCTCATCGGTGACCTGTTTCTTGTAGTAGTTCCACAACGGCAATCGCCAGACTCGATCGCCGGTCAGAGCACCCGCCGACTGGAATTGCTTCCAAATGTAGTGGGAATTCGAGAATATTCCCGAGGCACCGCCGCCAAAAGCCTTCTTAACACCTTCACCCAAGGTGGCCACGTCCACAACCAAGCGGGGTTTATATGTGGTCTGGCCGTAGAGCAATGGATCCGCCATCACAACCACGCCGGCCTTGTCCAGATCCCTTACAGCCATGGATTTGGAATTCATCAGGGTGACAACATCGCCCGGCTTGCAGGCCATGCCCGATGGCATATTCTCGCACAACGGAATAATGCAGCAGACATTGATGGGCAGGGACAATGCCGCACAACATCGCATCATGGCCACACAGGATGCCGCACCCGACATGCAAGCCCGATACTCATCCATGCCCTGGCATGGCCTCAGGTTTATGGCACCCGAATTAAAGGTTATTCCCTTGCCCAGGAATAAAACCGGTTTATCCTCGGGACTCGTGCCGCAATAGGTGATCTCCATCAGAACGGGCGGTTCGCAACTGCCCTTGGCAATCATGAGGAAGGAGTGAAGGCGCTGCTGCTCGATCCATTCCATGGTGCGGATCTCCACAGTGATGCCGCACGGACACAGGGCATCCACGGTCGCCTGGGCGAACAGAGTGGGCGTCATGCAGCAGGCGGGCGTTTGGCACATCCTGCGAGCCAAGTTCTGCGCCTCCGCCTTGAAGACGCCCCGGGTCCAACTATCGTAGTCGGGCGATTCGTAGAGCTCCAGTTTGGGAATGTGAGGGCCCTTCCTCTTCGAGTTCATGTCACAATACCGCCAAATGGCGAGAACGGCACCTTCGGCCGCCTGTTCCGCATAATCCATGCCATCCACAAAGACCTCTGATACGCCAATTTCTTGAAGAGATCGCGCTCCGATTCCAGCTGCCACACGAACATTCTCCATGCCCTCGTCCAGCATTTCCAGTTCGTTGAAGCCAATGCCCTCGAGACCGACGCCAACCACCGCCAAACTCTTGAATTCGGGATCAACGTTGTTGAACACCTTGCCCCTTCCCAGATGGCCAGTGATTTTCGTTTCGCAAATCAGCTCGTTCAGCTTGCCGTGCAGACGATCGTTGATCTTTTCGCCAGCTGGCGTTAGTTTGGGGTCCTTGTCGCCCTCCTTCTGGTAAAGACCAACCACCAGACCCCTGGAAACCTTGCTTTCGCCGCAGGAATTGCGAATTTGAATAACATTCGGCAGGCGTTGCTGGGCCACAAGCTTCAGAACATTTCGCATCTTGTTCATCTTGGGAGCTCTTTGGAAACTATATCTATATAGATGCCTGTTCGGACCGATTTAAATGCGACTGCGAATTTCGTTTGCACCGAAAATCGTAAATTGGGTTTTTTGAGTATCTATCGTATTAAAAACACGAAATTGAAACACGATGCACTAAAAACAACAAATAATTTTGAAGAAAAAAAATTATGTTTTTTTCTATTTTTCACAAGAGCTGGACTAGCTACACAACACTTTCAAAGCACGAAGTAAACTGAGATTCGGATGAGATTCCATCAGGAAAAAAGAATATACTGTCGGAAATTTGGTTCTAGGGCTGCTGTGTCGTTAGTCACATTAGATTTTATTTAGTTGGTCTTAAAACCCAAATAGCTTATAATATCCTTAATATTTTTCTTATAAACCTCAATATTATAAATTATTCTTGAACAATATGTGCGATTTTTGTGCTTAAATATTACTTTCGCTTTCTCATATAATTAAAACCAATATTTATCTTATTATTTAACTGGCCGAAAGGATTTACTACCTTCGCTGAATATTCATTCCGTACCATTATGATAATTCCACTTATTATTCAAGTGAGGTGAATCCAACTGACATCTGCTTCCTGAGTTATGCTCGACCACATTGCATAATTAAAGGTAAAACTAATGGAGTCCAAATGGGATGAGCGACTAATTAAACCCGAAACTTAACCCGTCTGTTAATTTATGCAAATGTTCTGCGATGATTATCTGGTTGATTAACGAAGTGAATTCGAATCCCATTTTAGTTGCGTTCACGCAACATTGACAGCTGTTGCGTTAATAAACTGGCTAACAAAAATATAACAAGTGAACAGTAACACAGATTTTACCTCCACAATTAAGTAAAACAACTGGAGACTAATTGGGTTTATTTTAAATTATAACTAAATACTTTATATCTAAATGGTCGAAATTTGATTATATTTATGAGGAATTTGTTTACACGACCCTCTACGTTATTAATTGGGTTTATTTTAAATTATAACTAAATACTTTATATCTAAATGGTCGAAATTTGATTATATTTATGAGGAATTTGTTTACACGACCCTCTACGTTATTTTAAGAAGCCCATAAATTTCGTTAAACCAGGTTAAAGTCACCAAGAAAATCCCGACAAACCTTTTCCATAATCGAATGAGAAAAGTTTTGAAAACACTTTTGACGCTTCCTCGGAATCTTAAGCGGTTCACATAACTGTGACCCAAAACAAGAAGATACAACAAAATGTATCTGTATCTCTAAGTCTAACACAGTTTCCCCTTAAAGTTTCCCGAATATTTGTTGTTTCTGTTTCTGTTTCGCCTTCACAGTTGTGTTGGCATTTTGAAGAACTTTTCGGCTTTAGTGAATCTGCAGGATGCCTCTTCGCCGGAATGGTTCCGTCATAAAATGGTGTTGATGATGTCTGTCTGAGTGTGTGGGTCCTTATGTGAAACCAGTATGTGTGTACATAGGAGGTATTTCTGTGTTAGTGTTGACAACATTTGCTGCCAACAATTTCATTACCGCCACATTTAAAGTTTTGCCAAGCACACATTGAAAATGAGACAGCTGAAGATACATTGCCGCCTAGATGAAGGATACTGAAAAAAAATATTTCTTTTTAATTAGGAGAAACTCTAACATGTTTAAACGAATTGTGTGTGGCTTATATGGGTGGTGCTTATTATTCTTAATACTGTTTGGATTTTGAAATTAAATGCATTATGCTATTGCTATTGCATTAAGCATTGCTGTCACTTGTACACAATATTTTTTTTCTTTCCAATTTTTGCTGTAATTAGTTAGGAATTATAAGAATGTTAATTTTTTTTCCTCAGTGAACATGTATGTTCTGGCAAAAACTCGCGTTCAACTCTCGCTTATGACTAAGCCCGGCAGTCGGTGCTGTTTCTATTTGTTCAGCAGTCAGGCCATCCATATCCTTTACCCCCTGAACTGAACTCTGCCCTCGGAAATCCACTGGAGAGCCTGAGCTCGTTATAAATGGAAAACTTTTGCTGCTTTCTCAAGTGGTTTTTCTCTCTTATTTTGCTGCCGTTTTTTTTTTTTCTATTTCGCCGGACTGTTTTTGGCTGTTGCTTTCAGCTTTGCAGTTCACATTTGATTCGGAAAAGTTTTTTGCGCTTGTTTATTTTACTTTTTAATGAGAGAGACATGTTGAGGAATCGAGATCGCATGTCCATGGTATTTGACGATTAGCCATGTGAAATGGTTGGTCAAGTTACGAACTTCCACGGCAGGCACAACTTTTTCTACCCCTATATATATTTGGATGATTTTCATGCCGGAAAAAGTTCTCGGAAAAGTTTCGAAACGAATGGCAGTGCAGCGGGTGTGGAAATTTGTCAAGTGGCAATTTCAACCGGTGGCAAGTGTCTGTGCAACAGTTGAACTCACATTCCACTCAACGGAGCGAGAGGTAGGATGATACCTACTTGTCTGCCAGTCTGCATAATATTGATTTCCCCGACCAAATCTATCTATTTTTTGCATGTCCCCTGGCAGGACTTATGCACTTATCCTTCGGTTCGATTCTAGTCCTTTGGCAATCCTCAATCTCGTTCTCCAGTGGCTGACTGGATAACACAGAGTTTGAGTGTTTTTAATTTCTACTTTCCTTTGCGAGGCATCAGGATAAATGGGATAGTGGGGATATCGAAAGTCACTGAAGGACCCATCATCTGGCATTTGGAACACTGGTCCTCTACATCTTTTTTTTCTTGCTGCCCTTCTGGCCATTTGCATTCATTTGTTTGCTATTGAATGTGGAGCAATTCTTGTTTGCCTTTTTATTGAAAGTTGCAATCAAATGATTGCAGTATATGTCAGTGGCATCGACCAGCATTTTATTTCTTTTTCATGTATATATTTTTTGTGCCCCAATTTTGCGGCTTTTTTCGCATCTGCATTTATTGGTTAGATTTTTTCTGTTGACGGCTTTGTTAGTCAACTGACAAAAGCAGGTCACAGATTTGTTGTAAACTTGAAAATTGTAAGCCAATTTTTCGGTTACCTAAAAGTTCATGTTAGATAATGTCATTCTGATTTGAGCTCTTTTTAAAAATTGTTTTAACTTTATGAAGAAATAAATTACGGACAATCCATATTAATTAATAAATCCCTTATTTTTATAAGGAACATTTTAGAAATAATTTTAATATTAAAAAAAATTCTATTACTTCAAATATGCAGTCTCATTCACTTTATCCCAATTCCCTTCTAATTGCTTAATAAATCGGTCAAATAAACTCACTTCTGAACTGGTTAGTCCGAGTTTGCTAAAACTTTTTCCCTTTTTATCTCGCTTGACTAAAGTTGGCAAATTCCAAGCAAGTATATAAATAATTGAGTTATTTGAAGGGGAGGGTGTAGGAAATTGGCAGAAACGAAATGTTCTCATCACTTAAATTGAAGGCAAATATGTAGTTGGATTTGCCCCATCTGATTTTCCGTCAGAGCCAAATTGAAAAGTTGCAGCTTTCGAACGAATTTGCAAGAGTTTCATTGGGGCAAAAAAAAAAGGTTGCAAAAATGGCAGCAGAAGCCAAGGCAAAATCCTGGCTAACACATGGGTGTGTGTTAGTCACCGTAAGCTGCAGCTTAGTGGGCCAAAAGGGATGATTTCCCTCGTTTCCCTTTGGCAGGCAATCAAAAAGTCAATCTTCCCCTGCATGCAACTGATTTTTTAATTGTCGATTAAAGTTAATTGAAAATCATCATTAGCCTGATTGATTGAGACAACGGCTGTCGCATATTTTCCTTTCATTTCCGTAGCGTTTATCAATTTGCACTGTTCTGGCATAAGCCGATTATGGCCAAGGCCAAAATGAAAGCAGGCAATATGCCTTAGAAATTTGGCTTGGCCACACGATAGCCCTAAGAAAAATGGCCCATCAGGAAAATCTACTTGTCAGCAGCTTTTCAAAAAGACAGTCTGCCAAGGGACGGCAAACTCGGAGATTGACTGAGCCAAAAAATGGGTCTAATTAATTTAAGGAGCTTTGACAATCAGCATCTGTTTGTCTCGCCCTTGGGGGAAAACTACCATGGAATATTTAAATCTGTATATAACAGATATAATGTAATACAACTCAAATAAAATATAGATTTTTATTAAAATAAAAAACAAAGTTTTACCGAACTATTTTTACAGTTTATTTCATACTTTTTTGTTTTTGGCCTTGTATAATAAATTTTGTTTAGTATTCATTTTTTCATTGTCTTATTTTATGAGTCAATCATCTCTCTTTTATTACGTTGTTTTTTGTGTGTCTGTCTAATGAAAGTTCAAAAGAATGCAATATGTAAAACTTAGTGTCGGTAAGCGGAAAGTCTGTCATTCTGACAGTGCAGCGGAAAACGCGCTGACATTTATTAATGTTAACGCATCAACAACATCCGCTCCCCGCCCAAATGGAGTGGGCGTGGCAGGAGCTACACAAGTGGAATTAAATACGCATTTGCCCTGTCAGCTTCACAGTGAGCAAAAGCGATTTTGAAGAGCGTGTCATAAAAGTTTGTGAAAGTCTCGGGTGGGCGAAAGAGGTTGGATAAAGAGATTTAGCCGGGCCATCCCGAAGATAATAAAAATGTGAAGGTGCCGGTCCGCATTATGAAAATGGCATTAAAATGACAAAAGCACCATCAGAGTTAGATAATATAAAAAAAACGCGAGAGAGTCCTTGAGTTATTAAAGTGGATTGAAGAGGCAATCACTGGGATTTACTTACCTCTCTTAATTCTCTTTTTGGAAGGCTCGAATTACGTCGGAAAACGGCAATTATTTCCAAGTTTTAAAGTGCAGAGAACTGAAACGATTTGCTGGTTAAGCAAAGCTCAGCACGGCTAGTCAATTACGAATGCCATTTTATGGGGGTGAAACTGATGCCAAGGGTGGTGAAGGAAAAACCCCGGAAAATGGGAGTACTCTTTAAGCTAAATTACATCCTTTTTTAAATTTAATTTTTTTAGTTGTAAGTTAAATTTCAACTGTTTGCCTTTGGCTCCTTGCTCTTTTTAACACAACTTTCGGGTATTTTGTTTTTTTGGCTTATTTAAAAAGCTCAACAATATTTCAACCTGCTCGTTAGCCTTCCGCTTTTTTCCTTTTTCACAAAAACTGAAACCCGGGGCATAATCCCATGCATGTTGATTCGGCCAACATAACTCATACGTATAATTTTATTTGCTTTTTTTCCGTTGCCTTTATGCATTTGGCGCCAGTGGTAATTTAACGCGCAAATAACTAAATCAAAAAAACAGGTTTAAAGTTTCTTTTTGTAAGTCCTGTGGCCACAGAACTTATGAAAATAAAGCGAACGAAAACAAATGCAGAGAAGCAGCGCCCAAAAGTCTGCAATTGGTAAACTGTTATACGGCCAAGCGAATGTCCAAGACAGCATCACAAAAAGTGTGCTACGCAAAGGGTCAAAGGGCGCATGATCAAAGAGAGTGAAATATTGTAAGATGAAAGGGCGGATGCAATGGCAGTGGCAACAACAATTTAACTATATGCGAAGCAACAAGAACAACAGCAAAAGGCCATGGGTTTAGGCCAAAAAAACGTAACAACGGCCTGACCTTCACCATTACCGCAGTTCTTTTTTTCCAGTATCAGAAAAAGTTTCTTATGTGTTGGTGTGTGTACCACTTAGTGCGGGTGGGTGTTTGCGTGTGTATGTTTGTTATCTGCTTTTGTTGGCTTTAACATTTTTTACGGTAAATGGAGCAGCAGCAGCAGCATCAAGAGCGTCATTGTGATGGCATCGATACGCGGAAGTGGAACCACATGGCGCATACTTAATGGTTGCGTATCTATGCACTCGTACAACACACAGAACATAAATAGTAAAACACTATTTTCACACACAACAATTTTACAGTTTTTTAAAATATATTTTAAACCTTGTCGAGTTTGAAAAAACTTAAACATTTTTGTAAAATTTTGTAAAGGGAGTTGAATTATCATTAAGTAATTATGTTTGCTTATTAATTCCTTTGTGTTTTTTATTTATTTGTTTTTAATTAAGTTTAAACTCTCCCGAAATAAACAATTTTTCTTTTTTCCAAGTGCTGTTGTGTGCTTGTAGCTCTGCTTGCATAATGATGCCAAACATCTAATGAGTTTGTTAACCCAAAAGCTCGATATGGAAAGCAATTCATCTCGTGCACACAAATCGTATTCCGCCGAATGATTGAAATTTGAGCGGAATTTTCGCATCGATTTGCTGATTTTCTCTCTGCGATTTGAATGCGACATTTGCGATCTGTTCGTTCAACAATTTTCGCTGTCATTCGTTTTGGCACCGCTGAAAATATGCTGGGCATGATTGATGATATGTTCGATTGAATGGGGGCTCTCGAAAAAGTGCCTGATAGATAGATGGCTCACAATGGCAATGGACTTGCAGCAGGTGGCGGTTGCCAGGATGTAAGTATCCTTCACTAAGCGGATTTCAGCCAGAACCATCATCATCTACAAAAGAAGCTCATTTTTTTTTGTGTGGTCTGCGTGTGCGGAAAGTTGACTGTTTTTGAGAAAGAAAGAACTTAAGTAGGATTTTTCCATTTCCCCTTTTTGTATGCTAATGCTATGGAGAAGTGGAAAAAGGAGCATTTAATCAAGTTTATGTGGAATAAATTATATTTGCACGCTTTTCCTTGAAATAATGGCAACAGCAATGCCATTAGGCTTATTAGAAAAGGGAAGAGAGGAAAACCAAGAAGAAATCCCACCCAAAGAAGTCAATGCGATTAAGATGGATGATGCATAAAAGTGGTTAGCACAACTAAAAACATTATGGGCTAAAATGTAAAAAGGGTTCTCAAGATCTAAAATAATGTGACACAAATTCGTTAAGTGAAATTTAAAATTAAAATCTCTGCAAGTTATATGGTATTGCACATGTTTTGTAAATAAATTCGGACATAAATGCCCACAAATTGTATGCTTATAGAATCCCAGAAACATATCTTCGACGCAAATTCCTTTTCTATTTTATTAAAATTCTCAGAAAAACTTATGCTCAAGTTCTTTTTTGGGGGGAAGCACACTGGTTGGATGGAAAATATCATTTTGCATATTGTCCGAAATAAATTGCACAACTCTTGTGCAAAAATTTGCCGTCGCAAGTATGCGAGAAAATAGAGAAAAACCCAACATCACTCTGTCATCAAAAATATGTGTGTATTCTCATGTAAATAACTGCAAATAGAGCTGTTGAGAAAAAAGTTGACAATAAAGTTTTCCATTGGATGGCTAAACAAGTCAAGGCTCGGAGTTTTAAAGTAATTGCTGTTTATACCATATTATTGTGCAAGTTTTTTTCTTTTGTTAGTCTATATATGTGAAGGTGGCACGTTTACGCCCCTTGATTTATCGTTGCTCGTTGTAAAAAATAGAACAACTTTTTGGTGGGTCAATGTGAAAACAAGTCAAACAAAAATGAGCGGGCAGAACTTTTATTCTGTGTGCCATTTGTTCATTGTTCTCATTTGTTGTTGAATTTGCAGCTTTTTCCTATTTCTTTTGGCAGTTTTGTTATGAACGAAACTCAGGTGGACTGTTTAATTGTTGCTCTTCTTTTTGTGGTGGTTTTTTCTTGTCCTTTTCGTTTGCAAACAGTTTGACAGATTCATTTTTAAAAGTCATATTTTAATCTCACAAAAAGTTGAGTCAAGTATGAAATAAATTGTGCTGCTTAATATTTATGAATTGTGTAAGCTAAACTATATAAATCACATAATATGTTGTTGTTTCCACCGTTTTTAATTTCAAACATATCTTTGTTGCATAAACAAGAGGCAGTGGAGTATTTTGTAAACAACTAAAATGTTGCCCAAGTGGAGGTCTCATATTTCGCTCTCATAATTTTCCCCTCACATCTTTTATCCTGCTGATGATGACGGAAGTCTCAAAGTGACAGACAATTTTAGCGTTAACAAGAATAACAGCGGCAGGAGGAGTGATGGAAACTTTGGCCACATGTGCGCAAATATTTTTTCCTGCTTCTCGCTGGCTTCTTTTTATGGTAGCATCGTTGCCTTCGTCAGCATAATAATGAATTACATACAATGAACCACCGGAGAAATCCCGGTTCCTGGTATCCAGCAATCCTTGCCATCATCAACATCAGGCAACTACCTATGGAAACGCTTTGAGCACTCGCTTAGCTTCCTCGCCACGCTTTGTTGGCTGCAGCAATTTTACAATTGACTGTTTCTACAGTTTCTAAATGGGGAAACTCCCCATTTTCGCAGTGGCAACCTCCTGTTTAACGGGAAAGGGGTGGCGAAATGGGTGGGTTTGTAAAACGCTCGACTTGTTTTACGCATTATTTACTTAGTTGGGAAGCTGCCTGATGATCCCCATGTACGTGTGCACGTGTTTGTTGAAGTACACCAGGCGCAAAATATTATTTTAATCTTATATATATGTATATAAATTGCTTGTACTTAAAAACATTCATTCCCTTTGGCTTGAGCTTTTTGTAAATTTACGAAAATCTAACATTTATTCTTTAGGGAAACAAAAATAGAAGTTAACTCAAGCATTTAAACAATTTTTGTTAATATTTAAATATTTGTATAATTAGTGAATAGGTATTTCCAACCACACATTTTTTTTTTGGGTTTTAACCCTTTATTTTTTTTTTTTTTTGTAAAATTTTTGCTATTGAACAATTTTTTTTCAGTGTCAATGTGCGTGTGTACCCCTCAGTTAGTGTGTGAGTGTGTCCATTCCGTGGGGGATATGGGCGTGGCAAATGAACTAGCATAAAAGTAAGTTTGCGGCAAGCAGCAAAACGTTTGGTTACAATTAATTTCGTACTCTGCGTTGGGCAACGAGAGGAGACATGTACATTTGGATGTCAGTTGCAGGGGATGCGGGTGATAAAAACGGGTTTGCGATGCCAAGGGTGGCCCTAAATGTTAGCAATTTGAAATGAAAACCGGCCCCGGAGTCTCGTAGCTGTAAAAGTATTTTGCGGGCATTTCTACCATTATTTCCATTTGAAGGCAAATGAAGGGGAAAGCAAATCGAAATTCCCTGGAAGGCCATCAGCAAAGGAATTCGACCAAATAACAAACGACGAAATTACACGAATATCAAATCAAAATTATCTACCTGACGGGAGATTTTTTAATGGCGGACGTAAAGCAAAAATGGGCAATAAAAATGTTTTAAATGCGTTTGGGAAACGGAAAAATTCTTAAGATATCTCAGCGGAAAAATGGACCAATAAAATATGTTAACAGGGGCAGAAATGACTGACTTTAAATATGAAACCCCGTTTAGCTTTATTCCTGTGATATTTAATACCCGCAACTTACTTGATCTGTTTGTTTGCGAATCGTAGAAACAGAATCCGCTTGTGTCTGTTCGAATTACTTGTGGTAAAAGCACACACTTCTCTTCTTTTTTGGCACAAGATGCTAAATGACAGGCGGCTTATGCAACATTTATTTGATATTGTATTAAATATTTAACGCACGACACGATAAAACACTTTTGCCTCATTAATCTAACGCACGCAAGAGCAGCGGTTGAAAGAGGAAGAGCTGCTAATTAATGCCGGCACAACTAAACACGGCAAACACACAAAAAGCACACACTCACAGACAGGACTAAGCCTTTAGTCGATGATTGATACGGATAGTCCAAGGAATTTGAGGTTTTCCCCTGGGGGAAGGGGTAAGAAATTCTGAGGTTTTTCCTTTCCTTTATTTCCACGAGAATTTTACGCGACTTGCCAGTGCGAGGCGAAAAGCGATGAGCAAAAGTTTTTCCGTCCACACGTGAGCACTTGCAAAGGGAGACTGAAATTTTCCGCAAAAGAGCCTGTAAGTATGCAGCAGCTTTGCCGTATAACACTACAACAAGTATAACAGTTTTGTGCGTGAGCGAGTGGGCAAATGATTGGAGAGATAGCTCTTTGATACTACCTGCTAAAAGGTAGCATAAAATTTGGTTTAATGCACAACGACCTTCAGCATCATCAGCATAAACTTGGCCAACTATTAAACCGCCAGAAAAGAAAAAAAACGGCAGAAACATATGTGTTTAAGCCAGAAAAACATTTCCGCCAAATTGCCCAAGCCGAATCGGACAATTTACTTTTATTGGACTCGGAGAACTTTATGGTTTCTCCCCTCCCCGCGTAATACCGATGATTATGATTATTTACTCAGCCTATTTATGTGTGGGCGTTTGGTTACATAATTAGGCCATTAAATATAAGTGCCTGTGTCTCTGATTTCTTTTTCCCCCCTCAGCATCTTCAAATCGATCAGGAAGGCAAACAAATTTCACTTGACAAAGAGCGGCCAATTTAAATGGAAACAGAAGGCCATAAAGAAACGTATTTTCAGCGCCAACTTTTCTTCGGCGGAAAACGTAATTGAATTTTTATTGACATTCTAGCGGAAGTGGAGGTGAGGACAGCTGTCACTTGAGCTATAGAGTTGGCTGGGAATAAAGCGCAACTATTTTGCAGAAAATGACCAGGACACCAAAATGGGAGAAGGAAAAGTCAGGAAAATAAGAGACAGGCCAAGAAGACGACAAAATAAACCGAAAGGAAATCCAGGGAAAATAAAAATACTTAAAATTAATTCCGCTTTCGTAAGGCCTCTTTAAAAGGGGATTGAGTCCGGAATTGCTAATGGCAGCCCAAGAATAACCTAATTAGGGTTGACTTAAGGAAACCGAAGGCAATTTCTGCAGATTAAGATGGAAGAAGTCCAGGAAGGGAGTTTTAAAAATAACATGTTAAAAAAAGGAATTTGTGTATGTATGAATTACCTTTTAAACCTTTTTTGGTTTAAATGAAAAGGTACAGAAACGCGAAATACAAGTTAATAAATAACAAATGAAACAAGCCAAAATATTTGTAACTAAATAGAAGTATAAATTAATTTGTTTTATGTTCAATATTAATATCTATAAAGATAAATATTGCCAATAGAAACAACATCAATTAGTATTAGTACTGCATTATTAGTGGTTTAATTACTCAATTTTAATGAACAAGTTTCTATTTATGGACATAATTGTTTTTTATACATGCCGATCTAACTGGAATCGGTTTACAAATTTAAATGCAACCAGGGCATTTGTCACGGTTATCTGCACCATAATATGCCACTATTATCATTTACAGTCACCCACTTTAGTGGACCCAATCGCTTTACTCATTACCAGGAGACGCCCTCGTCTCTGGCTGGTCATTAAATTATTTTATATGGCACATTAAGAGCGGGCATAAACACACATTCCCCCACTATCCCTTCACTCTCTCTCCCTATAATAATATATATAGATAGTAAGTGCAGTAGGGGTCATAAGCCAAAGGCTTATGTGGGTAGAGGGGTTTGTCCGAGTGGCAGCTCCATCTGCGGCAGGTTATATTTGCTATTATTATCATAGTTGGAGTGCTTGGGTGGTTATTATTGTTACGAGTGTGCGCTCGGCTTCTAAGCAATTATTTAAAGCACACCAAGGACGGGAGAATTGCGGAGACAACTCTTCCTTTCTCTGTCTACGGGGAATGTCCACCGTTGGCTGCTGAGATTTCAATTTAAAAACGAGGCCAAACTGCTGGACGAAAGGGAAAGAGGCGCTTCGTACACATGTGACCACAAGTTTTTATGCCAGCACAGCAGGTTCTTCCAGGCACTGAAACAAAGTGCACACCAAAAATACAAATGCATTTTTTTAATTCCAAATATTCAAATCAAATCGACAAGTTTGGAGTACAATCCATTCCATTGTGCATATTCAGTTGTATTTTTTGTTGTGTTCTGTAAGTAAGAAATAGGTATACAATTAAAAAAACCCTATTAAACAGAAAAACAGTAAATAAATAAATGCTATTGTAAAAAAACAAAGAAACTAGAACATAGTATAATCTAAGAAATCCAATGAGCCAACTGACATTTGTTTTCTCACAGTGTATCAGCGGTCAGTTCTGTGATAGAGTTGCGCCCCAGGCTTGCTGATTGCGTGCCATTGTGCGGCGAGATGCTTCCAAATTTATTTACAATTTAAATGCAGTTGCCCCGACCTTTGGCCACTTTTTCGCACCTGTCACCGCCGTTGTGTCGCCTTAATTGTCGCAATCAATTGAGCCAACAAAGGTTAAAAGCTTAATTTATTACCTGAGTTTCGAATGGCATTCGCCAGCAGGCAACGGACATCATCCAAAAAGGGTGAAACCTCGGTCCTCATTTGAATCTCAGGTGAGATCTCCTTATCCCTAGTAATCTCAGGCTTATTAAGATCAGATTTCCAGAGAGAGGGAAAGAGAGTAGTATCTTTACCGTTCATTACATTAACCCATTCAAGTTTTCTACGGATAGCTCGTATAATTTGTCGCTTCTCATGACAATCTTTATGAGAAATATCACTCGATATGTCCAATATATCATCTATGTTTTTAAAAGGCGATGCTTTATATTCCCCTTCATCTGATGTAATTTTATCCAATACTTGTTGAACCTGATCCAGTTTTAAAATAACATCCGAAAGAGTTTCAGTCAAATTATAGTTTTCCATTAAGCAATTAAAATTGGATTCAAGACCTCGCTTGTTCTTTTTAAACATATCTTCGCAGGGTGACAAAGTTTCCCTACTATAAGTAAAACTTATAAATTCAAACACCACAAGAACTAAGAACATCTTCCATTAGATGTGAAAACCTCACTGATATCAACTCGATGTCGAACGTGTGTCTTTATTTCTTGTTAATTGATTTTGTACAGTCAGGGAAATTAAATGTATACGAGCAGAAACACTGGCAATGCGCCGCCAACTTTGAAAACAGCACCATAAATTTTAGTTGGCACTCGTGAGGCTGCAAACTTTCGGGAAACTTGCAGCTCATCCGGCTTTTCCCACGGACGAGAATTTCGCCAGCTTTACTTCCATTGTGGCCTCATTTGCTGCCAGCAGCAGAATCGGCAGCGGCCACCATAAATAATCCATACAAATTAACGCAACCGTGCACGTTTAGCCGGCTAAAAACTCCGAGCCGTGTCACCCTAAAAAACTGAAACCCAAAAACCGCGAAGCGCCAACAAAAACAAAAAATGTATAACAGTTTAATCGACAGCAGTTCGCTTGCTTTCTAACAAAAAAAAAACAAACAAGAAAGCTGGTGAAATATATTTTGGTATAAAAAATAGCGCTTAAGTTCTTAGCATCCCCCAAAAACTGAGCTGGGACCCATTTCGCCATCAGGCAGCAGCTTCTTTGGTAAGCAAAATTTATTGTTTGCGGAAGTTGTCTTTAATGGCGCCCAAGCAGGCACACCCGCAGGACCATCGAACCATGGATATTTTACTCCACAGCCACGTTTTTCCCCCCCAGTCCCACCGCCAGTTATTCAGTCCGCATTTAGTTGACCTTCAGCTGCAAATAATTTCAACTCATTGAGTTTAATGTCCTGTGCCTTATGGGCGTGGCATAGCCATTTATAAGAACTCGTTGCCACGTGGATACAGTGCGTTTCATTACATTACATTTTAAAATGTTTTAAAAACTTTATTTAAAAGGAAAAGGAAATTCTACCGCTGCCTGGTCTTTACATTTGTATAACCAATTTCTACAATTCTTTATTAATTTTATTATTATTTTAGATAGTATAACTTAAAACTACACCGTATATTATCTTCATCTGGGCACGTGTTTTCGGCCAATAATAATAATGATTTATGGCGGACAATGGTCAGAGAAGTTTTTTCCTTCTTGGCTCATAAATATTTTGTTAGTCTGCATTAGGTTTTTTTATGTTCTTGTTTTCTATTTTTCGGTCGTTCAGCTTGAAAATCGTATTTTAATATGAGAGCCACGACACAAACTAAAATATGCAATATTTGCCCCTTTTTCAAGATGTTGGTTCGTCGCTAATGCGTTTATAAAGTGTTAACATTGCGTATGCGTAATATTTAATAGCAGCTGTGCGGATAGCTGTCTTTCTTCCACTGCCATAAGTTAATGTATATTGTTTGATTTATGCTTATGAAAAAGTGTGCCATGCCCTATTTTATGGCTTCGTTATGGGTTGGGCTTCAGGGTAATAAAAATGTGAAGCCAACTCGAGCGTTTTGTAGAGTTCCTGCAAAGACGGTCGTAAATTTAATTGCTGCGATTATTGCCGGGAAATTAGCGCAGATCAGAGATAATCGGCGAGCTCAAGGCGATGACATTAAATGATTTACTATTTGGACAGTTCTTAGAAAATGTAGTTGAAACTATTGCCTGAATATCTAAAAAACTTTTTGAGCACATCGTTCAGTTAAAGAGTGTTTTGTTTTAGTTTAAATATTTTTCTAGTTTTTTATAACTATTTATTCATTAATCTATGACTTAAAAATCAAACATATTTCACGAAAAAGCCTCATTATTCACTTGAATATATTAGCTTAATAAAATAAACAAGTTGATAAGCCAATTAATTAAACAAAAAAACTGATATTATAATTCACTTAAATCAATGCCAGTATAAATATTAAATTGCCTTTGGAAGCAATATTAAATTTCCATTTAGGCAATATATTTAAGCCGCCTTAAAAGCGAGTCCAATTCCCCGACGTCGAGCCCAATAATTTATGCTAATTCACTTGACTGCCATGCAGACACCAGCAAGCCGCAAAAAACCCCCAATGACAATGGCAATGACTTCCTGTGGACGAGGGTTTCGCACACACAAATAAGAGCATTTTAAGCCTGCAAAAGTTAAATCGAGCCGCTTGTAATTTAGCCAATTGCACCAAAGTGGCCGACTAATTGCCTAGGGAGCAAGTACAGGAAATGAATTTGCATTTCGGTTAACGCACTTGGATATGCAATTTAAATGTGTGTCACATGCAGACGAGTAGTTACTGAAAGTAAGCCGACTCGTTAACATGATGAAGTTAAATAAACTTCGCAGTCGGGCATAATTTATTTAAAACAAACAAATCGGATGGCAAAAAGTGAAAGTTGGACGAGGGTAAACTGTGAAAATACAAACACAGAATCACAGCGGACGTTTCATATATGTATGTGCTTTCTTGGAAACAGTTACGGGTAAAAAAATAGTTTTTAGATTAGGATTCTAAGGATTAAACTTACGGTTTGTATTGAGAAGGTTACTGTTTACTTTTGTGGAAATTTAAATAAGATATATACAAACAAAACAATACATTGTTATATTTTCTTTTCAAAAATTCATTGAAAAGGGTTTTAACAATGATCGAACTAACAAACAAAAAAAATTGTATAAAGTTGACTTTCCAGACATGTTTATTTTTTATTTTGGTAGAACAACAAAATTGCAGATATTTTATGTAAGCTAAAAGGAAACTGTGATTTAAAAAAAAATTGTAATAAATATTGCTCTAACTTGAGTGGTTGGAGCGTCTGTTTTCCATTTGCTTTTCTCATTATTATGCTCGACACTTGGTTGGCAATATTTTTTTGCAGCACGACGTCACTACGCCCACGACCTTCACACAGTGGTAAAAGCAAACAAGAAATGGGCGTTGCCACGCCCCCTTCTCTTGAATCTTCCAGAGGATTGAGTAGACTAAGCGTTTTGTCTACTTTTGCCCGGCATCCGTTTCTGTTACCCGTTTTTATCTTGTTGTTCATTTTATTTTTACTTTCCCACTTTTTTTTTCGCCTCCCCTCCGCATTTTTTTTGGTTCATAGTCACTTAAGGATTCATGCAGTAACTGAAGCCGCAAGCAAACAGGCAGCACCTTGTTCATGTATTCAGTCAGTCAGTGGGTGAGTGGGTGGTCTTTGGTGGATTTTCTCTTACTTTTTTTTGGGCGGAGGGTGGGGCTGAGTGGGTCTGTCAGACGCCTGCGGACATGCCCTGAATTTTAAAAGCGTCGGCTACAGAATTCAGCCTTGAGACAAAAGCAAAGCCTGCGGTTTCCACTCATCCATCATGGGCCTATTTATTCGCACTGATTTTATTTTAATTTCATTAAAATGATGTGACAGAACTTAATTGGTTTCCATTGTGGGCGGCAGGCGATTAAATCGCTTTAAATTATGAGAACAATAAACTGCCATTCAAGATAGCGACAATCTGTGTCTGTTTGCCGGCGATAAAACCACTCTTGTTTAAAGTTTTGCCGGAGATAAATTGCATTTAGCAATTGCTTTTGTGTTTCACAACAAGTTTTTGTGAAATAAATTGTGGATTCGACTGCATTTGGAATTTCGATTATGTTGTATCAACAGAAAGTAGTACGTAGACCGGAGTAAACAGAATGCATTTTCCATTAGTATATTTAATTTTTCAATTATACATTTTCCCCACTTTTCGCCAACGTAATTAGCATAGACTCTCAGTGCGCCAGTGCATTATAAACAGTTAACCCGTAATCTAGGATGTGGCATACTGTGGGATTTCGCCGACATCTCTCACCCTCATTTTGGCCAAGGCCTCTCGCCACTCGACGTGCAACATTCAAATTGAGTTGCATAACTTGCACTGAGGTGAGCGAAGTCATTCAAATGCAAATTCCATTTACACCCACACCAGCAATCCGAACTGCGGGGATACAGGAAAATGTCAGGCGCAGTCGTCATCACCGAATTCCAAAGAGGGCGTGACCCTGCGAATTATGTCCGCCTCAAATTCCTTTGTCCTTTTGCCTTGCCAAATAATTAACAATAATGCCGTCAATGCGCGGCTGACACTCGATCATAAATTTGCGCCAGGAGGTGGAAAATCTGTTTGAGGGATTAGGTTTTCATGCAAATGCGAAATATTGTCGGTTTTGGAATGTTACGAAACTAATGAAATAGTTGAGAGCTCTGAGTTGTTATTTGAGAGTTTTGCTTTGGCAAGAATTTGCAACTTAGATTAATATAACTATCTGCTTATCCGAAATATGAGAAACATTTATATTAATTTCAAGATTTCGGACTCGGTTTCATTTAATGCTTGATGAAATTTCAATGAAATGCTTTTGATTTAGGTATCTTAAACCCGTAATGTTTAATAATTGTGGTTCTGCTTTTGGTTTCTAATGTTTAATGATTAAAAATGTTTTCTGCTCTAAGAGTTTCCAAGTATTTTATATAGTTTTCTCTTGACCCTTTTGCTTTTGAGTAAACTGTGACCACAGATAGCCAAACGAAAGCTAAGCATCACAGAGACCATTCTCATCCAACTAACACCTCCTTGCTCTATAAAAAAACCGAGAGTCATGTGTGTTTAAAGAGCAACCGCTCCAACGCCCATCATTCCATTTGGATGTAAATTACCAAGCTGGAAACGCGAACCGAAAACAGGAAATAAAAGGAAATAAGCAACAAGCAAACAATGAGAGCCTGGTCCTTCCATTTGCCCATTGTTTGAGTGGGGTCCTTTGGACGTTTGTTTAGGTCACAGACACAGCACACAGGACACTTTAACCCATATTAGCTGAGCAGGGAGACCGAAAAAGTTAGCATAGATTAAGGTCAACGGTTTTGCCAGGGCTTTAAATCAGTGGAATTTCATTTCGAGCATTGCAATCTCTGGCCAAAGATGCAGATGCTGAAACAACTCCTGTGGGTATGTGCGAGTGGATAGCGAGATAATGAGCCTGCAATCAGCATTTGCCACAAATGCTGCACATTCAAAGCACTGCAAGAAGTCAATTTATAGATATTTATAATTTTAATAAAATAAA